GAGAAAAACTGAAAAGCCGCTCTTAATCAGAAGCACAGAGAGAAGGGGACTCGTGGCAAACTTTCAGAGAGAGAGAAGCCGTGAAGCCCATGGGGTGGCCTTGTCGAGGCACTGCGGGTAGACAGAACAAACGAAAAAGTGCCAGACCAGTAAGTCAGCATTCTGGATCAGTCCCGAAGAGTCTCCAAGCAACTTAAGTGAACTAAAAATAATTCTTTAAACAAATAAGAACTAAGAAAAATTTATGGCTGACCAAGTTGAGTTAAGAAAATATATCAAGGAATGATTTTCAATTAGAAGGGAAGAACACGATGGAAGTCAGATACAGAAAAAGGAAAGCTGGGTAAATAAAAATAATCAACATCTGAGCAATCTAAACAAATGCAAACATGGTGGAACCACAATGGTTATCACTTCACAATACACAACACATGTGAATATGCATATGCTTATTAGGTAAAAATAAGGGGGAAAAGAAACAAACTTGAGATTATAAATGTAAAAAACTCCATGCAGAAAACAAAGAGCTGGAAAAAAGAGTGAAAATGGTTGTCTCTGGTGGGTAAAATCCTGGGGAATCAGGCTTGCGTTTTCTAGGTCCCATATAGTGCATACTATTGTTGGTATATGCCGTCAAGTTGGCAGTGACCCACAGCTGACCCTCCAAAGAGTTTGCAGGGGCAGTAAATCACATGAGAGGAGACTGCCCGTCTTCTCCAACAGAGCAGTTTGTAGATTCTAACTTCATGCCTTTGGGATTGCAGTACAGCTTCTTACCACTAGGCTACCAGGTATGTAGAAATATTATAATACATTATAATGCACCTACAGAGAGACTGTTGGTTTCAAACCACAGACTTTCAGTTGGCAGCGCTTAACCCCTGTGCCACCAGAGCCTGGCCGTCACCCGGTGAGAGAGGAAAAGAAACCATCTAGAATCACAACCCACCTCATGTTCTCGGCCGAGTCTTCAGGCATCGGGGCCACCGTCTGAACCGCTGGGAGGTTTTTGCTGGTAGCACCATTCACAAAGCTTGAGGAGGAAGACGAGGCCGATGAAGCGGAGTCCGCCGCACCTGTTCCAAAGAGGGCATTCAGCCTTAAACACAGACTAACAGAGCAGCTGCAGCTGCAGGAGGCCTGCCTGAATCTGAAGGAAATACCCATCTAACTTCATATTTTGACAATTAAAAATCATTTGGCCATTAGTATACTAGTAACAGTTACTGCATCAAAATGTACTCTCACTACAATCTAACAGAGAACTACATGCTACAAATGGGGTAGAAATAAAAGACAAGAACAAATGAAAATAATTTTAGATAAAATGAAATGGGTAAAACCAAGGAAATCTGTCGTAAACGCAGCTCTTTTTATTGCTGTCACAATCATAAAAAAATCTGTCAGCCAAGATACAATCCAAAGAAACTGTTTCAGCCTAAATTTGAGACAGTGCATCATCAATTGCTACTTTCAATAAAAAGTCTGTTTTAAAAGGGTTGTAAGTGTAATTTTACCTGATCTAAAAATGAGTTTTCCTCAATATAATGAAGATACCATTTGAGAAGAGATTTTTCTATTACATAGTTGTAGAATTGGAGGACATCTAGTGTCTCTAAATATTATTATTATCTTATAGTGTTTCTTGGAAGGCTGAGTTGCCTAGCAATATTTTCACTTCATATTTCTATAGTATTGAGGTGTCAACAACTGAACTGGATGTGTCTCACAACTGTGTGTGTGTGTGTGTGTGTGTGTGTGAGAGAGAGGGAGAGAGAAAGCTGAAAGTGGATACGTCTCACAACTGTGTATGTCTGTGTATGTGTGTACGCATATGAGTGTGTGTGTGTATGCGTGTCTTTCTAAGGAGGATGTTTATTCCTTATTCTTTTGGATCTCATTGCACTATTGCCATATTTTCACACATGCACCATGTACCTCCTTGGTTAGTTTGCTAGCAGCTCCCGCCCTGCCCACTTTAGAGTTATTTTCATCACACTGTGCTCAATTTAAAAATAGCAACACTTAGAAAATATTGTCACAGCCACACACTAATGAAAATAGCTCCTGGAGGGGAGAATGCTGGCCACAAATACAGAGAGTGGTGTTTGTGTAAAGACATGGCATGTACTTTATACTGACATCCTTCTTTTGCTAAAGCTTCTTCGTGTATCTGATAACTTTCATACAGGAAGTGAAAGAAAGCGTCCGGACTTGTTCACACAGCAAGATAGAGGAGGAGGTCACTGATCTCTCCACTTACCTGCATACCTATTAACAAAGAGTGAAGAATTCTTCAACAAACACCACCTAACACAGGGTTGCCACTGCTTTTCTCCTGCATTGGAACTCTTTTAAAAATATTAAGCCTTTTAAAATACTTATTTCAATAAAAGGATTAACATTTTTACTCCTGTTTCATCAATGTGGAATGAGAATAAAGAATTAGATCATAACCTGCAAAGAATGACTTCATCTAAAGTCTTCAGTCAAGTCAGAGAGAAGTATCTGCTGCTAAATCCAAGCTGCTTTCAGCTTGAACATCACTGATAACAGCCAGGTGCTGAAACAAGGTGTGTCACAAACAGTCTACTTACTACAACCTCACACACGTGTCGTTCGTGGTGGGTCAGACTCAGGTCTGACAACAAGACAGGTGCAGAGAGCACAAGAGAGAGCTACAGAATTCTAGAATGGGCAGGGTCTACGGAGCGCAAAGATGGAAAAGTTCAGCGTTCTACAGTTTGGAGGAGCAGAGGCCACTACGGCCGGGGAGGAAAAGTCAGGGACCATCTTGCGTTGTATAAAGACCTAAAACGGAATCACAAACATTTGGGTAAGGATTGATTTCGCTAATAACCAACAGGAACATTTCTGGAAATTAAAAAAAAAATTACCTCAGGCAGGTTTTAAAATTTGTTGTGATTTGGAATTTTCTGCTCCAAGAATCATTAGGGCAACTTGGACAAAGAGTCATTTACCTCTGTAAGCTAACATGTCAGTTAATTCACTGGCAAACGGTTCCACGCCATGTACTTTTTCACCAAGTGAAGGCCCAGGTTATGACACTGTTGTCTAGGTAGGTCCTCAGGGAGGGAAGGCTTCCGTCTGGAGGGTGAGCTGGACCCCAGGAGGATTCAGTCAGGACACACTGCAACCATGCTCTGTCACTGACACTACTAGTGCACTGTGTCACTCCTGATACAAATGACTGAGGGCCACATATCAAACTTTAGTGTTTAAATAATCATTGGTATTTGTTTCAAAATTAAGTTTCACTACTCAGATTTTACTCTGAAAGGAGACCGCATTCTGCATTTTCAGAAACTTAAAAAAAAAACACAACACAAACCCAAGTAAAATAAAAACCACTGTTGTGGGTGACTCACAGCAACCCTGCAGGACAAAGGAGCACTACTTCCTAGGGTTACTCAGAAGGAGCCCTGGTGGCAAAGGGCATGAGATGTTCGGCTACTAACTGGAAGGTGAGTGGTTCAAATCCACTGGCAGCTCCAAGGGAGTAAGATGAGCAGCATAAGAAAAGGTTTCCAGGTTCAGAAGCTGAAGGGAGGTCACCACGAGCAGAATGGCGTCGGCCGTGGGGAGTTTGCACTCACTGGTTCAATCTCTATGGTAGCTGAAGACCACATCTTTCTCCCACAGAGCAGCTGGGGGCTTTCAGTTGGCAGACCGAACCATTGGAGCTCTAAAAGTCACAACCGCACCCTCTAAAATGTCCACTAAGTAATGCACACAGAATTATAGCAAATTTGGGGGAAATGCAAGAGTACAACCCCCTTAAAGTTTAAGGCAATCAAACACATTCAAGGAATTTGTTTCAGAACAAAATTAAGTGGGAAAATGAAGATACAGAAAACAGAAAGAAAAAGATGTGGCATCACAAGAATATATAAGGACAATACCTGTTGTATTAATCATACTTTTTGGTGTAGCTCCAGTGGCAGCAAATATATTAGCGGTGCTGCCTGTGGGCAGGCCACTTCCAGCTGGGGCAGCTCCAACGGTGGTCACAGCCAGGCTCCCGGGGGGCGGCTTCTTCACGGGCACCACCACACTCCTGTGAGGGAGATGGGCAAGGGAAGGCACAGCAGAGGTTAGGGACAGCCCAGTGGGGTGAACACATGTTCAACGTCAGATTTACTTTTCCTTTCATTCCAGAACACTCAAGTCCAATGATAAGAAAACGGACAGGAAGTATACAATGACAGTGGACTGACTCCATCAGGTTGGAACCCACCCAAAGCTGACTCTCCCAGGAGTTTCCAGAGGCAATTACTTTCATGGGAGGGGACTGCCTCTCTTTCTCCCACAGAGCAGTCCGTGGACTTGAACCACATGCCTTTAGGTTGGCAACACAACTTCTCACCACTAAGACATCAGAGCCACTGTGTAAAATTTATACAGAACTCGACTTCCTTAAGACATAAGGAAAATTACCTAAGAACCGACACCTTAGAATTACAGTATCAAACAAGAACAGTGAACGTTCCATAGACTCCCAAAAGAACAAACACTATCACAGTGCACCTGGGAACAAGACTGTAAGACTTTATATATTATATACTCTGAGCATGTAATTCCAAGGGGAAAACCTTGGAGAAGAACCCTACGCTTGAAAACACAGAGGGTCAGCAAGAAAGGAGACAACCCTGCACGAGATGGACTGACAACTGTGAGGACAAACACAGCAACACATGTGCGGAGGTCACAGGACCAGAAAGGGTCTCGGTGTGTTAGATACAGGTTCACCCTATGTCAGCATCCATGAGGTGACAACCAACGGCCGGCTGACCAACTGTGCAGTTCTAAAGAGGGTAGCACACTGTACACGGTTGGGGACATAGCAAACGACATGCTGCAATGAGCAGCTTTTACCGACATGGAGGGCTGTATGTCAAAATAGACATAAAACACCCACTTCTCACCCATACACAAAACCCTTTGAAATCTAAATTTTAAAATATCTTCATAAGGAAAGGTAAAATCAAACCAGGACCACTCAGCGACATCTATGAGGATGAAGAAGTCATGCTTTCTTTTTCTCACTATCATAGGATTCATTAAAACTTGTAATCTGTGTTAGAAATGTTCAGGACACAAGGCCTCCACCAGAACAGTTTCTCTGGCAAGCCTGAAGGTTGGCCTCCTTCTGATCCTTGGCCCCACACAAAGTTCTTTTCCTTCTGCCAATTCCATGGCTCCTCCTTGCCCTCTGCCAAGAAGCCTAGGCCAGAGCACTGGGCACTGACTGGGTGGGATCTAGCTGTGCTCTGGTCCCACTCATCTGTGGCTCTCCGCACGTCCACGGGTTGGGTTTAAGAATCTGGGCTGCGGTATTTCACACAGGGATCTCTAGCCCAAACGATGCACTGAACTGCTTCTTAATAGTAACGAGATTCTCCTGTTCTGCCTTCAAATCATGCAACTTGGTTCAAGATTCCATCTGCTGTCTATTCTTCAGCCGGCGAGAAAGAAAGTCAACTCCACTGGGACGGGGTTCCCGTAAAGAACTGCGCGCTTCAGGGCTTTGTTCACAGAGTCGCTATAAATCATGCTCAACTCGAAGGCAAACAACAACATACTCCAATTACCAGATCTTGTTTTTCTGTCTGATACATGTTCTCTTTATCTAATTGTCACATTTTACATCTGAAAGATTCCAGATTCAAGAGCTTCATTTCTTTATTTCCAAGAGGTCAATTATGAGCTTTTTAGGGAAGTAATAGCTTATGGTAACACAGTAGAAGCAGTAAAGAAAGTAAAGACATATCACTTTGGGACAACCTATTGTCAAAGACTTCTCCAAGGTGCTACAATGGGACAATGCCAGTTTAAGAATCAAGGTAGGCTTGATTCAAGCCACGGTCCTTTCAAGAACTTCCCACGCATCTGAAAGTTGGGTAAAGAGTAAGAAAAGTTGAAAGGAATCAATGTCTTTGAACTATGGTACTAGCAGAGGGTGGACTATCCAATGGACACGCCTCTCTCTGCAGAAGGGCAACTGGGGTGCTCCTTCCAGACAAGGACGGTGAAATTTCATCTCACAGACTTTGAACATGTCATCAATAAGGACCAGTCCTTGTAAGGGCACATCCTCCTAGGAAAGGTGGAGGGTTAGGGACAGAAAGGAAGCCCCTCAACAGGACACAGTGACAATGATGGGCTTGTGCACATCCTGCTGATGGGACAGAGCAGGGACTCGGTTACATCTAATATCAGCAGGTCCTAACTCAGGTTACAAACCCTCATCATCTAGCTCTAGTGAGGACAGCTTTGTCTTCAACATGCCAGTGACCGACTTCTCCTTGGCCATCGGCACTGGAGCTCCGGCTCCTTTAGTTCTAAGGGGCACATCATTATATCACTCTGATTATGCAATGGGCCGGGCGGCAAGGCCTTGAGCTCAAGCTATGTGGCTATCAGCTCTGATTCCCTCTGATCCTGCAGTGGGCCCAGGGCAGGGCCTTGATCTCCCAAATGTGGGTGTCAGCTCTGGCCTGCAGTGGGCCCAGGACAAAGTCTGGATCTCTCACTGTGCGGGCAGCAGCTCCGGCCCAGGGCTTGCTCTCGCCAGTCTCTTTTTCCATTGCATTTGCTGTTGTGTGTCCTTCTCAGCTGTCTTGTGTCGGACACTGTGTCTACAAGAATACACTGTACTTTTATGGTGTTTTTCATGTAAACAATGACATTACAACGCTAAAAAAGATGGCTTGTCACACACCTGGAACCTGGTTAGAAAACTAGTTAGCGTTTAAGCCTTGACATTTCAATCACAGGAGCTCATTATTTCTCTTGCGCTGTGTCAGTACAGTTAATGAATCGTGTCATAAGCATTTCTGAATCTGACACTGTAGTAAGTGTAAGTCAGTTTAAAGTATGAACACAGAAAACCCTAATGTTGCTTCATGGAGATCTGAGGCAGCTCAAACTCATTACAACCAAGAAATCCTGCACATCAGCACCGCGGTCCCCAAGCTCACTGCAGCAGTGACCCTTGTCAGCCCAGCTCTCCGATCCCCACCGCGTGACCCCGTGATTCTCACCTCTCCGTGCTCCCCACCGTGCTCCTCACTGTGCATGCCTGTTCCCACCGTGTCTGCCAGTGAGCCCCACAGCGTCCCCGTGATCCCCACCTTGTCACTGCTCAGTTACCCAGTCAGCCCAGCTTGAGTATCTGTCTCTCTTCTGCAGATTTCTACTTTTCCAAGCATAATGACCTTCTCCAGGGACTGGAGCCTCCTGGTAACATGCCCCAAGTGGTCTCTGCTTCTAAAAAACACCCTGGCTGTATGTCTTTTATTATTATTAATGATTTTTTAAATGCAACACATTATTTTTTACAGGATATTCTTTCCATTTAATTTCCCCCCAATCATTCATTGTTGCACATTTTCCTCCCTGCCCAGCCCTACCCCAGTTCGTTTTTCTCTTTGAAAAAAATTCTTTCATTGTTATACAATCCCCACCAGTCCAGTGTCTACTATAATGTGCATTTCTTTTTCTGTAATCTTGTCATGAAGATAATATCTAATCCTATATTCCTTTTAAACAGTTCTCTCCCTCATCTGCTTCAAAGCAGCATACATTATTTATCCTCTCTTTTCTTAGGTTTCCCTCAACCTCAATGTCAGTCCCATTTTACAACAGTGGCACTATGCAGTATTTGTCCTTTTTGTGACTGAGATATTTCACTCGGCATAATGTCCTCCATGGCCACCCATTTTGTATA